GGGGGGGAGGGAATTTTTTTTTTTTTTTTTTTTTTTTTTTTTTTTTTTTTTTTTTTTCACAAATTGACCTATGCTTAGGTCAATTGAGAAGCCTGGGAGGGAGAAAAATGCCTCCACAGCTGCTCTGGGGCCCTGAAAGTGGGTTTGGATCTCCTGCCTCTTTGCAGGTGCATGGGTGCTGTGAGGTGCTGCAGAAGCAGCTTCCCTCTGAATGAATACAGTATACTCCCTGTGTTGCTGTCAGGAAGACTTTGAAGGCTCAGGACAGAAATAACTAATTACCTAGATATTGAAAGCAGTATCAGGAGGAAGAGCTCTTGTAGTGCAGTGCAGTTTTGTGGAAGGGCATTAAGAAAAATCCTAAACCATGTTCAGAGGCTAAAAAAGTAGATTAGCAAGTAGACAAAGAAATTCAGTGTAGGCATTTTTTAGAGATGTTACTCCCAAACAGAATTTTACACTTTAAGCCCCATTAGGTGCTGAGTGTTGTGTGGTTTGCCTGTCTGGTGGCTCTGGGTTCCCAGGTACCACCCTTCACTTCAGAGGTGAGCAGCTGCTCGAGTACCCTCGAAGGAGCTCGCAGCAGCCCTGGGTGGGAGGTGGGAGAGGGCAGCCCCAGGAGGGGTTGCACTTGGGTTTCCCTTGGGACACCTTCATGCTTTTCCCACCTCTTCCAGTCGAGGCTCAGGGGTTTTGAGAAACCTTTGGACCTCGTTCCTTATTGACAGTCATTGTGCTCTTCGTCTGAGAGGCTTCCAGGCATCCAAACCCCATTAATCCACTGGATTGTTTTTAGTGGCTTTGACAGAATGTTCAGTAAGTGATTCTGTGGGTTGTCTGTCTTGTCTGACTGTAGCATGATCCCACTGTGTAGATCTTCCTGTCCTTGTATCCTGCCCTGAGCTCCCTGCTCTCATCTGGTGAGGTTCCTTCACCTGCACGGCATATTGTTCTTCAATTTTCTGGTGTCAGGAGTGGGAACAGCCACAAAAACCTGTGAGAGATTTGTTTGCTCTTGACTGAAACTGTGTGAAACCTGTGGAGAGTAGTTGGTGGGTAACACAACTCTTTACACTTAAAATAATACATTGCATGAGTGTTGTGCTTTCCTGATATAGGAAGAAAACTGGATCTCTTCCATACTTGTTTTCTCCACACTCCTTGAATCTTTTGATAATCTCTTTAAGGTGACTCAACCGCTTTTGAAATATAGAGCTGGAAAGGAAGAGTTACATGGAGTACACTCTACATAACTTTTCCTGACTTTTAATATGATTTTTTTTTGCATCCTTCTGTACAGTTATCTCCATTTTCAGTAGAGGGTGAGTTGTGCTAAGCAGGCAGCCTTCAGAGAGCGAGTTTGACTTTTTAGCTTCCCTGTGTAATTAGGCATCCCTTGAGTCTAAGCTTTGGGGTTAAAGACCGACATGCTTCAAAACTTAGTGTAAACATTTAAATAATCATCAATTCTAGCTGATAAACTATTAAGAATAGGTTTTATACCTGCAGAGGTAATAGTATAAGAATTGGCTCAAAATTCTGTTGACTTTTGAAGGCTCCTGTGCAAAACTTGTTACAGTAGTCGGAGTGAGAAGTGACATTGCACATCTATCTAGGTGTGTTTAAACTGGTTTTTAAAGTCTGTATGTTTTAAAATTGATCTCAGTTTATTTCTTTCTCCTCCCTCAGTCTCAGACCATGAACTACGTGGGGCAGCTGGCGGGCCAGGTGCTGGTGACGGTGAAGGAGCTGTACAAGGGCATCAACCAGGCGACGCTCTCGGGGTGCATCGACGTGGTGGTGGTGCGGCAGCAGGACGGCACCTACCAGTGCTCCCCCTTCCACGTGCGCTTCGGCAAGCTGGGCGTCCTGCGCTCCAAGGAGAAGGTGGTGAGTTCACAACGGGCCCCAGCTGAGGCCTGGGCTGCCCCTGGGCTGCCCCTGCTCCCCTCCTGCCCCCCAGCCCCGCGGCCGTGCCGCACGGAGCTCCGCTCGCTCCGACGCTGCTCGCGGGAGAAGACAAACGTGCAGACCTCAGCCTCAGAGTGTCTGCGTGGCTCTTTGCTTATTGAAGTGTGTTGGGAGAGAAGTGTCTAGTGCCCTTTAACTCACCCCTGGTGTGGCAAACGACTGGTTTTGGAATGTCTGGAGGACCAACAGAGCCTGTGCTAAGGGTTGGTGACCTGTGATAACTATTGCTCCTCGTCAGCTTGCTCAAGGCTGATGTGCAGGAGGAGATGCTGATGTGCAGCCATTAATATCCACAAGCAAATAAACCTGGGGCTGGAGCTTCGTTCCTCAGTGGGCACGTTTGGGAAGAGCCTGGTGCCATTGTCGAGACTATGATTGTAACAGGCTCCTTTGAAAAAGCAGAGGGAGGAGAGAGATGATGATGCAGTGGAACAGTTTCCCCTCAGAGCTCAGTGGGCCCTGAGGTCAGTGCCTTCCCTCACGACAAATGACTTGTGTTACATTGTCTCTTCCCACAGATTGATATAGAAATTAACGGTGATGCTGTTGATCTTCACATGAAACTGGGTGACAATGGAGAAGCATTCTTTGTACAAGAAACTGAGGAGGAAAATGTAAGAGCTCTATGCTTCTTGTTGGCCACAATGTGGTATCAGCACAGCAATGTGTTAAAAATGCTTAATGGTGTTGTCAATATTGTAACTTCCATGAAAGCTACATTTTCTGTGACTGAATCTTCATCTCACTTCCATATGCTGCCAGCATGCTTGCTGCTTTGCCCAATTCTGTGACCAGAGATAATAAAGTAACTAATTTTTTTTTTATATTAGAGCATGATTTAAAAGATTTGTTGATTTTTTTTTTTTT